CCATGACTCGTGGTTTGTTTCGCGTTGTTTTTCCCCCACATGTGCCGACCATGTGTAAAACCTTGGCTTAAAAACACACACGCGCACACACACACACACACACGCAAACTGTAAATAGTCTTCGTTCTGTTGCCCCCTGACCCTGAAATCCCCTCCACTTTAGGGAAAACTGTATAGCTCTTACCTTTCCGGATTTTAAGATGTCGCTTCGGCTGAATTTGTTCCAGTATTAAAGGAAAAGCGACTTTTAGCAGTACTGTATCTGTCCCCTGTGTTTTCTGTGACATTCTGTACCGAGCGACATGAGGTTTTTGTTTTTTGGGTCGTTTTTTTTTTTTTTTTTTCTTTTCTTTTGTAGGCTTTTTTTTCCCTTATGTTTGTCGTTTTGCTCTTTCCCTTTTTCACCCCTTGTCATTTGTGTAGTTCTTGTGTGCATATTATTGTGGATGTGCAAATGTGCCTCTGCAGGAAAAAAAAAAAGATTAAAAAAAAAAAAAAAAAAAAAAAAAAAAAAAAAGGAAAGAATGAAACACTGGTCTGATGATTAAAAATCACGTATTTGTAAAACATTTCCTGCCCAGTATTTGTTTGTATCAGTGTTTAGAAAGAGAGGAAAAAGAAAGGAAAGTATGGTACAAAGCGATCGGTTTGAATATTTGGCTGTGTGTTGCGGAACACTTGCGGATTAAAATCGCCCACTTTTTCAGTCTGCTGAACCAATAAACTATTCTGTTTAAATAACCCGAGTCGTTTACTGACCCGTCGATCCGTCCGAGTGTCACGTTTCCTTGTTTTGTTCACGATATAAGAATGAAGGGGTTGACGTTCCCCTGGAGATATTTATGGTGTTGCTGAAATGGAAAAAATGAGTCATTTAATCACTGCAGTGGAACACTCTTCTCATTCGCTATTGCTTAAAAATAAAAATGCTGTATGGCCTGAGTGCATTGTGTATTTAACTTGGGGGGGTATGTATATATAAGCATGTGTGTGTGTATATATAAGCATATATGTATATTCAACTCTAACGCCAGAGGAAAAATTGATTGTTACTCTATAATCCTTCATGACCAAGACTGTAAAAACACTACATGGCCAAAAAAGTATGTGGACCCCTCACCATGTGTGTGAACATCCCATTACAGATTGAATCCCCCCCCCCTTTTGCTGTTCATAATAACGTCCCCTCTCCATTGGGAAGGCTTTCCACTAGATTTTGGAGTGCAGCTGTGGGGATCTGTGTCCGATCAGGTGTTCGGTGGGGTCGAGGGTCAAGGTTCTGTGCAGGACCCTCCAGTTCTTCCAGTCCAGCCTTAACAAACCAAGTCTTCATGGAGCTTTGTTTTGCTGGAACATGTTTGGGCCTCTTGGTTCCAGTGAAGTGGAGTTGTGACGCGACAGCGCACAAAGATATTTTATTAATCCCCAGATGGAGAAATTAGGGAGACGTACTTTACACAGTTGTGTGCTTCTGCCTTAGTTTGAGGGAAGAAGCACAAACAGGTGTGATGGTCAGGTGTCCACAAACTTTTGGCCACAGAATCAATAAATAAGGCTATTTTATAGGAAAATAATCAACACTGGTGTGATGGAAGGAAGCAGAGGTACTCTCACCACCAAGTGTAAACTCGGAGCAGTTACGAAGCACTGACACTGGAGACTCCTTCCATGGATGCGAAACGTCAGCGTGTATAAACGATTACGCGCTTCTGTCGAGCGTCTGCCGTCCAACTCCTCAAGAATTAGTTACTATAAAACCGACGAGCTATTGGAACCATCCCGAGACTCATTTACAGGTACACTCAGGGGTGCTCTTAGAGAGAATTTATCCACACCTTCTGACCAATCAGAATTGAGAATTTATATTGTTTATTTTATTTAATTTTTTTCATATTAAAACAAATAAACATAAATAAAGGTATAAAGATTGACTTAAGTGCATGTTTTTTTTTTTTGCGCACCAAACCTTAGATCGAGATCTCAGTAAAGGAGCTTGCTGCGCCTGGTCATAATATATTTGTTTTGTGTGCCGTCACGTGACTTCAACTGACCAATGGCAGCAGCGAGATATGCTGCCCGAAGCGAGCCGTGTTCCTTTTCAGCAGTTGTTTTTTTTTGTTAATCCGCCCGTATTTCCAACCGACCCAAGTCCCGCCCCCTGTGCTGTCGGATTGGCAAATGAATGCCTCGCCTTCCGTGCGGTGATGTGCCGTATTGCGCCCAGCTGATTGGCCAATTTAGACGTCTTTCCTCTACATCGTCATGGCAACAGAACAGAAACAGCGGAAGCGCCCGCAAGAAAGTCCAGTCCTTACTTGTGCTTATTTTATTTTTTTTTTAAGCGAATTGTTTTTTATTTGTATACTTTAATATATATATATATATCGCCTTAATTTTCTGCGTCTATACTCGTGTAATTCATTCGTTTACGTATTTAAGCCGTTTTCCTTGCTCGTTTATGCCGGCCAATCGGAATGCAGTGGGCGGGGCTTACTGGAATACGGATTAGGAAACATTAACGTGTCGTTCGTGGTTGCGGTTTTCGCCGCCACTGGGATCAAAGGGGTTTGTTTCTCTTATCACCGCTTATCACCTCGGAATGATGATGTGACTCCGTGCACTGAAGATGTCACTGTGAGTGAGAGTTGTGTGTGTGTGTGTGTGTGTGTGTGTGTGTGTGTGTGTGCGTGTGTGTGTGTGCAGCACTTAAAGGGCACGAAGGTACGTAACACTGTTGCAAGGCTTTTAGGATGTGTGTGTGTGTGTGTGTGTGTGTGTGACGTCAAAACCTGAATCCCCAGTGCATATGTAAACTTTCCACACCAGACTCCCTGCTCATGAGCAATACGTTCAAATCTGCTTTGAATAATAATAATAATAATAATAATAATAATAATAATAAACAGAAATACAGGCAGAGCAGTGTGATTGGTTTTAAAGTGCTGTTTTAGTTGTAAACATCACTTATTTGCATGTCTGCAACTCCAAACAATGACATGAGTGAGTGAGTGGAGGAAGGAATGAAAGAGAGAAAGAGAGAGAGTTGGCCTCCCCTGTCCTCTTGGAGGCCGAGATGTTTTGCCGTTCTAGGAAAGTAATCAACGTTCAGGTTCACGGTGGTTCTTGCTCTTCCCGCCCTGGAGTGACAGTATTGTCTACTAACCGCACGCCCTGAAGAGTTTATTCTTCTTATACCACAGCAATTTGCCGACAGTTACACCTTTGGTGGAGTAAAGAACAGCTCTGTACTACTTTTTGTTTGTTTGTTAGTTTTTATCCATTTATAGGTACCGTTAATGGGGATTGGAACATCCAGGAAGCAAGATGGTGACCGTCTTCATTGATATGTCTGGTTTACAGGTTAGGACGTCCGCCTCGGGGGTTCGTATTACGCCTCCGCCTGGTGTGCGTGCTTCGGGGGTTTCTTCCAGGTTCTCCGGTTTCCTCCTCCAGTCCAAAGACACGTGTCGTAGGCTGATTTGCGTATCGAAATGGCCTGTGGTGTGTGAACGTGTGCACCCGTCCAGGATGTCCCCTGCCTTGTGCATCGAGTTCCCTGGGATAGGCTCCAGGCTTCCCACATCCCTGTGTAGGACAAGCGATAAGTCGCTCCATTTAAAGGGTTTTTTTTTTTCCTTCTGTGCTAAAATCATTGGATCAGGAAGTTCGCCAGCTAACTGGTGTATATTCTCCTCCTCTCAACAGTCAGTGATTTAACCAGCGAATATATCTGTATGTCGATCGATCTGAAGTAAATACTCGTGTGTACACGCTCTCAGAACGGGCGTGCTAATATCCTACACACGTCGTGTTCTTACTGTTTTCAACACGCCTTGTGTCGAATTATCCGAGGGGGAAAAAATGAGCGACACCTTGTGTTAAGTTATCGTCCGATCACGTTGCGGACCGCGCCGCCGACGTCATCGCGAATTCGCCTCGAAGCGAACGTTCGCTGCGTTGAGCTTTTGATCGTGACCGAGGAGTTGGAGTCCTGAGGCGAGGAAACCAAACGCCCACAGGTGAGTTAGCGTTAACGCTAATTGTCCACTAATGGTGTCATGTGTTTATGTTGGCTATGAAATATTTATCTATAATTCTTAGGGTTAGCTAGCTGGATGTTGTCATCAATCACAGTTGGGATGAGTGATGCCAATCTAGACGCTCAGCTAAGTTGGTAACGGTACTTTAGCATACAGCTTTCGGTAATGTTAGACGTTCCCATTCCCTGTTTGAAAGTAATAAGAAATGACCTAGCATTACAGCTATTCCCCGTGGTGTAATACAGAGAGTGGGTTAACGTTAATCATATTTATCGAGTGTTTTGGACAAAGCAAGCTGTAGTAATTAGCATTAGGAGGATGGGTTAGAACCGTGTTTCTTCATGTATTCGGCGAATGTTAATGCCGGGTAACAGGTGCAGACAGTCAGTGGCTAACGGAACTTGGCTAGCTCAGTAACGTCGAGGCCAAAACGTCTTCACAAGCTTAACGTGACAGAGAGGGGATGGTTGTTACAGTGGGTTGTAATGCTCTCCAGTATATCTGTAACATTGGTTGAGTTCATTCGGTTGTGCAAAAAAATTAGCAGTGAGGTGCTAATGGCGGGAAAATAAATATTCGCAAGTCCGCTAGATTTTCCTGGTGAGTCTGCAGCGCCATTTTTGTTCATCAGGAGAGCGGGGGTCACGTTTCCACAATCGCACAGTTTGGGATTCTGTAACGCAGTTTTTCACTTAAAGCCCAAAGGCATTTGTTCATATTTTGTCGCTAACAACTAACCAATACTCTCGTTTTTTTGTGTTTTTTTTGCTCTTTTACAGCTTTTCAGATGGAAGGGAGTGGGATTCTCGTCTTCACATCCGGCATTATCGTCTGTTAAATGTTTAAATGATATCTTAATAAACGACACCTGAATTTCATGCAGTTGTTTGTTTCTTTTGTGAGCATTTTAGTAGGAATTTAGCATACAAACAAATGACATTTTAGAACAATCCTAAGGGGGGCGCACGGTGGCTTAGTGGTTAGCACGTTCGAATCACACCATCCAGGGTCGGGGGTTCGATTCCCACCGTGGCCCTGTGTGTGTGTGTGTGGAGTTTGCATGTTCTCCCCGTGCTGCGGGGGTTTCCTCCGGGTACTCCGGTTTCCTCCCCCAGTCCAAACACATGCATGGTAGACTGATGTGCGTGTGTAAAGTGTCCGTAGTGTATGAATGGGTGTGTGAGTGTGTATGTGATCGTGTCCTGCAATGGACTGGCACCCTGTCCAGGGTGTACCCCGCCTTGTGTCCGATGCTCCCTGGGATAGGCTCCAGGTTCCCCGTGACCCTGAAGTGTATCTTCTCGGTATAGAAGATGGATGGATGTGTGTTGTGTTTTGTTTAACATGTCTTTGTGTGGAAATGTACTAACACACAGCATGTGTTAAATGTACTGACAAATTGATTGTGTTGAAAGCAACACAAGTAAGAGTTGCTACTTTGGTCTCCTGCTGATGCTGTGGGCAGCCGTGTTGATCCGAGACCCTCCCGAGTTCCCGTGTAGGAATTCTGATCCGAGGTGGCATTTACTTTGGGGGTTTTTGTTCCTGGTCAGAGTTTGGGAATTACGAGTCATGACCTCTAGTCCAATGCAGATGTAGGTCGGCTGACCAGACGTCATGTATTCCTCACGTATTTCAGCTTCGTTGCGTTTTTCCGGACTTTATCTGTCCTGTATTTCTGTTTAGGTGGAGTATTGCGCACGTTAATGCACCCTGATGATGATCGTGTGGGTGGAACAGAGTGAAATGAGCCTCTCCTACACACTTAATGTAGACTTAATTAATCACATCTAGCTCATGTGTCATTTAAATAATCGTGTTATGCAAATCCAACCTTGTCTTTTGCATAATTAGATGCATCATTTCCACTGATTAGTGTCCTCCTGGACATCTAAAGTGGTTTTGAATTGAGTTTTGAGCCCAGTGTGGAATAAGTGGAAAGACTTGGGATGGGAATGGATTTCAAGGTCGTGGATAACAGAAATGTCCCGGGAATATTCGTGAAGTCCTGGCGAAGTGGACCACTGAGTCATGGGGATATTTTAGTGAAGATCCCCCCCTAATAACCTTCTGGCTTGTCCACGTTTTCGTCACACACCACAATGTTCCTTTTGAATGCAGTGGCTTTCTCCTTGCACCCCTGCCACGTACACCACTGTTGTGCATGACGAGGTTCCACACACATCTGTCTGGTCTGACTGTGGATCGGTGGAGTCCAAACTCGTTAGAGATGGTTTTGTAACCCTTTCCCAGCCTGATGAGTATCAACAACTCTCTCTCTCTCTCTGACGTCCTCAGAAATCTCCTTCGTCCGTGCCATGATACACTTCCGCAAACGCGTGTTGTGAAGATCAGACTCCGATAGATCCCTCCGTTCTTTAAATAAAACGGGACCCTCACTCACACCTGATCGTCATCCCATTGATTTGAAAACACCGGACTCTTAACTTCACCTTCAAATGAACCGCTAATCCTAGAGGTTCACATACTTTTTACCACGCAAGGATTTGTAATATCGGATCATTCTCAATAAATAAATGACCTAGTATAATATTTTAGTTTCATTCGTTTAATTGGGGTCTCTTTGTCTCTTTATCTACTTTTAGGACCTGTGTGAAAATCCGATGATGGTTTTCGGTCATATTTCGGGTTCACAAACGTTCCAAGCACATCGTTCCGTTTCGGTCTTTATTTTCTGACTCCGGTACGTTTCCCTAAGAGAATATCAGTGTGCGGGTTTTAGTTCAGTCTCTCCACTCGGCCAGAGCCTCCATCCTTCAGCCGCTAACCTGAGAGCCAAAGATGTCAAATGTGTGTGCTAAGATCATAAGACATCTGATGTTGCTTTAAAAGTCAGAGTCATTTATCGTGAAAGTAGTTGGCGATTGCAGCCCTGGTCTGAAAATATTGTCCGTAATGAGGGACCGCTGCACAGTCTGGCGCTGCCTCCCACGCGACCTGCGCTGGCTCAGAATAGACTACATTTGCACATGACTCGCGTCTCAAATCCAGGTGACAGTCCTGGAGAAATCGTATTATCGTGTCTGTTGGTTGATGATGATGTTGTTGTTGTTGTTGTTGTTTGTTTGTTTTTGGTGATGCCATCAGATACATGATTAGGAGTCTGTTTGTTTGTTTGTTTAAGAGCACTCATGAAGGATGAACGCTGAAAGATTGCGAGACAAACGGTTCTCTGCTAACCCGTGTCTGATCCTGACTGTGGTGGGTGGTTTTCTTTTCAAGACGTCAAGGTTATAAGAGCAACAGCCAGCCTGCAGGGGTTTTTATACGTGACCGATTTATAATAAAAGCGCCGCTTTTATTTATATAGCGCCCCCCCTCCCCCTCCCCCAAGACTGGCACGTAAAGATAACGACGACACGGCACGCTCATCAGTATGCAGCATGAATCTGTGACGGAGAGAACAGGAGGTAGAGAGATAAAAACAGGGTGCGGAGATGTGTTTGAGATTTGCAGCGTTCGAACTCTGGCTTGAGGGAATTCCACCGTTTGTGATCCATGACAAAGACGTGAGGCGTGTTCGGGCAGCTGGCGATGAGCTCGATGTGAGGACAGTTAGCGCGCACACACACACACACACACACACACGGATGGGGTGCCAATACTTTTGTTTTCATTTTACGTGAGTAAGTCTGTCGTGTGCAAATGGATTTTCTGTCGCTGGATTGTACATTTGATGACACCATCCTGTTATTCTCAATATGTACAACCCAAATTCCGGAAAAGTTGGGACAGTATGCTAATAAAAACCGAGAGTGATGTGTGAATGCACTTTGACTTTTATTTAGACGAGTACAAAGCCGAGGTGTTTTGATGTTTTATCCGATCAACTACGTAGTTTCTTCGACGGCAATCGTTTATTTTGAAATCGATGCAAGCAACGCGTTCCAAAAAAGTTGGGACAGGGGCGATTTAGGACTAATAGCTAATGTGACAAGTTGACATAAGAAGGTGATGTGGAACAGGTGAATAAATCATCTAATCAGAGTATATAAGGAGCCTCCAAAAAAAGGCCCAGTCCTTCAAGAGCAAGGACGGGTCGAGGCAACAGATGCATCAGAGAATAATCCCCAAAGACAAAACAGTAGGATTTTGGGCATTTCACCTTCTACAGTGCACATTATCATTTAAAGATTCAAGGAATTCGGTCAAATCTCTGTGAGTAAAGGGCGAGGTCGAAAACCACTTCTGAATGCGCGTGATCTCCGATCCCTCAGACGTCACTGTCTTTAAAATTATCATGAGTCTGTAATGGAGATCCTGATCCTTTTCTTTAAACCTTTGTCAGTCGACACCATTCGCCGCTGCATCCACAGATGCAAGTTAAGGCAACACTGTCCAGAGGCTCCGCCCACTTCTCTGGGCTCGGTCTCATCTGAGATGGACAGTAGCACAGTGGAATCGTGTTTTGTGTGCCATGGTATGGCGGCGTGTCAGTGCATGGGTAACTTGCACATCTGTGAGGCCATCATTAATGCAGAAAGATGTGTACACATTTTGGAGCAACATACGCTGCCATCCAGTGCAGGACAACGCCGAACCACATTCTACCCGCATTACAGGCGAATGGTTGCGTAAGCAGAGAGTGCGGGTGCGAGGATGGCCTGCCCAAAGTCCTGACCCGTTTCCATTTGGGAATGTGTGGCACATTTATGAAGCACAAAATCAGGGAACGAAGGAATGTGTGACGGATGAATGTGGGAAAATTCCGCTTGCCGAACTTGACCAGCTGGTGTCTTCACTCGGCGTCCAAACGCTTACGTGTTACTAAAAGAAAAGTGTTACACAGTGGTAAATAGTCGTCTGTCCCAACTCTTTTGGAGTGCGTCGCAGTCATCCGATTTGAAATGTGTATATTTTCAAACCAACCTTCCGACCAATCAGAATCCAGATTTCAACATCACTGTGGTCTAACGCGAATTAATATTGCTACTGTGATGAATTTTGATGTCACAGTACACTTTTGAGACCTTGCAGGCATAACCTGTACTTTTATACGAGCAGATGAAGCATTTTTTTTGGCATTAAATATTTTATTTTTTAATTAATTTAGTCATTTTTAAATAAATAAATAAAATGATTGAACCTACATATTCAGGAGAACAAACAGGAGTGGCCTTTGGGTCTTCATGGGATCTGATCTCCTTATCCAGGACAACATAAGGGTTGATTAGAGAAAGTATTACATCTCTGATTAATGTTAGTCTATAATTATCATCAGATTTATTACCAAGCTCTCCGCTAAGAATACTTCTAAAGGTCAAACTCTCCAGAAACTGTTGTTGGCATTTATCAAGTAGTAGGTTGCAAGCATCAAATCCCTTTATATGTCTACAATATTATGGCAGTGGATTACTGATGATTTGGGGCTGTTTTTATGGCTGTTGATCCAGGGACTGATTGACGCTAGGCTTGTATGGTATTGATTTTTTATTTTTATTTTTTTCCCCCTCAAAATGATGATGAATGATTTTATTAATTCAGAAACGATATCCTGTCATATCAGGTGTAAGGAGAGTATGGGAAGGTGTTAAACCCCTCTAAGCCGTGCAGAGTGTTCGCTTTGACACTTCGTTATCCAACTCCAGAGCACAGGTGAGGAGGAAGGGGGCGGGGCTAGTTAATTAGTTAATATCAAAACATCTGCGCAGGTTATTCCAGGTTCATATGCCGAATGTCTCATCTCCCAGTTTTATTGCAGAGAGAAAGACTGCTCTTCTGGCATATTTTGGAGTGATGACCCGTATTGGCGCTCCCACACACAATGTGGGAAGGTTGGCAGGTCTGGTAATACAATATAATAATGATGGTAAACGTCTCAGATTAAGCTAAATTGATGGCTTCTTGAATTCTGAAGTTAAAAGGATTTTCAATCCATAACCTGGTTGCCTCTTCCAGAAGGATTAAAAGATTCGTAGATGGATTTTTCGCCAAGCGTACGCTCAGATGAACCCCGAAATGGTCGCGAGACACGAAATGTTTTGCAAGGACCATCTTCAGTCTGCGTATTGAAAC